GCACGCACACCCATATCTCCTCCATGTTTCAAGCAGCACCTGAGAGGCATTGGAAGGGGAGCACAGAGATGGAAAGACTGGGGCTCAGCACTACCTACTCATCCACACTTGTTCTCTGGGGAAAAGCGTTTTGTTCCTGCCAGGAGAGAAAGAGGTTACACCAGGGTGGTCTGAGCTCTGCTTCCCTGGAAAGGGAATCCCAGTTTTGGACTTACCCTCTAGGGAAATGCTTAGTGAGCCCCTCTTTAGGGTGTAAAAGAACAAATTGTAAACACCAGGCCTGTTAGGGTTCATGTCTCACTTGGAGGCTGTGGTTCCCCTTGGCAGGGAGATTCAGCTGGATGCTTGCTGATAAGGCCTAGCATCTTAGATGATATCTTGGTGTTACTTTCAATTCATGCTGCTACATTTTGGACTTGCTTCTCCTATGAACCACCAGCAAGAATTCTTAGATGATTGATTAACTGTGAGAAAACTATTTGCAGTTGGTACCCAGTAGTCCTCTATCGTACCAGAAATATTTACTGCTAGTTCCAGTGTTTGTGACAAATCAAGTAATCCATCCTTAGCACCTTAAGTTTTCTGTCTGTGCATTACAACACAAACTGCAGTGGTGTTTGCGTTCAACCGCCCAGAACTGTAAGACATTGCTATGAACAGCACCTCAGAGAGAAAAGGACTATCTTGATAACTTCAAGGGTAATCAGCATGTGGCTGAGAAATAAGAGGATTTCTTAAGTATGCTTAGTGTGGATGCAGTATGTTCCTACCTCAAGTCATAAATGCATGAAGTACACTTTGTAGCTAACTATTTATGAACCTAAGTAAAAAGGGCTTGCTTTTTTTTTTTTTGCTAGGTGTTTGACTTTGAACTGTCTAAAAAGGAGATGGATGTCATCCTCAGCTTTAACAGAAACTGGAGGGCAGTTCCGGTGCTCAAGTATGTTCCTTACTATCCACCAGGCCTATCTCTATCTGTATTTTCATCCCCCGTATCTTGAAAACACACATGACCAAAACCAGAGAGAGCTTGTATCTTAAGCCCTGGACCCTAGGTAATGAGACGTGTCCTGGAACTGACAGCAGGAGGGAGATTCATTCAGGGCATTCCCTTCAGCACCTTGGTGTTGCGTGTGCTTTCTGACAAGCCTCTGTTCAAATTAATGACAGTAGCAAAACTTGAGTACATCGGCAGTGGCAGGGGACACTGCAGTAGGGAAATACTGCTGAAGATACTTTCTACAATACTTAAATAACCAGTTCTTTCTCTTCTCAGAGCTGTCAATCACAAGGACTACCCATTCAAAGCAGAATATTAATACCAGTGGTTTCAGCGAGACCTCTGTGTAACTCCTTCCAGATTAGAAGATGTATTCTGCAGCATGGTCTTGATTTCTTCTGTATTTGACAATCATTACGAGCAGTTACTTGTCCTCCTTTTTTAGGAGACCACTAGCTGGTATAAGAATGCATCAATAGGGATGGGTCTTTTGTAAAGATGGTTAGCAGAAATCTGGTTTTGATTAATAGTAAAAAGACAATGTCTCTTCATTTCCTTTTTTTCCTTGTTTTCCTTAATTAAAGACATGTTTAACAAAAAACTCTGGTTACTCACATGATTTTTTTTATATGTTATTTCCAGTGCAGTCAGTCATACTGGGTCATGAATTGCTGTCAAGGAATGCTGTCCTTAATTACTTTGCTTTTTACATAGTTGTGATTGTTATATTATGAATTTCTAATGCTTTAAAAATTTTATATTAATAAAGTTTGAATAACAACAAAAATTAATCAGTGTAGTGCTTAAATTGTTTCATACATTTTGTTATAAAAGCATACCTGAAGTCTGTTTAAGTTTTGATAGAAATGAGCTGCTATAATTCCTGTACAAGGACAATACACAGAGACTACTTTGTAGCTTATGCGTCAAACAGGATCGTGCTCTAGCTAGAACCTAAAGAACAAAGTTGTACGTATTACCTCACATAGCCCTCCCTCTGAACACCTAGAAATTGAACTCTTGTATGATTAGCAGTGAGAAGTTGAAGATAGCATCATATGCAGTGATAACACATATCAAAATTGACCCAGCCCAACATAAGGGCTACCTCCAAAATCAGACTGACTTGTTCTGGAATTCTCAAACACAAAATCATATTTTTGCAACTCTGCTGGCGGCATTCAGAACAATTTATCCAGACAAGGCTTAGCTTTATCTAAGGAAAACATAGAAAAACTTTTAAAAACACCAAAGCAAACCCTGAGGTAGACACACAATTGCTTTAAAGTACTTTCAGGTTGATAACGCTAGGCCAAAGCAAAGGCAGGCTTCAAAAAGGCTCTTTTGTGGCATTCTGCACACTGACAAGAGAAAGTCTGGCTAGGATGCTGAGTGAGCTGCAGGAAAGCATGACCAGAAACTAAGGTGACAATTTGGTATTGTCTGAAAAGTCATCACCTCATAACGGTATTGAAACACCAAAAAAACTTGCAGCACTGCCAAGTCAGCCACCAGCATTTGTCTTTGGCAAATTCTGCCAGGAGGTGGTGCCAGCTGATGGGAACAAACCACAACGACACCACTTTACAGTATTTCCCTAAAAGTAAAACTGATCATGCCCACCAGGCTTCCACGCTCTCAGAAAAGGCAATAACCAGGAGCAAAAGAAACTTATCTACGTCAACAAGGAAAAGCGTCACTTCAGCAAAGCTTGCAGGGAAATGTAGCAAGGCAGTCGGTCAATGCGAGGCAGGAGAACAGGCACGCTTTCAAGCATACAAGCTCTTCTCAGGTTAAATTAGGCAGCATCTGACTATTTCTCCTCCAGTAGTTCAGAAAGTTGTGCTTGCTGCAGCCTTCCCTGTGCTTCCCATGGAGCTGGCAGCAGCCTGGGGGGCCTCTTTCTGATGACCATGACCTGGTCAGACCATGAGAGCAAAAATGAAGGCGACAGGAGGGCGACGGGAGAGTCAGCAGCTCCCCAGGCTCGGTCCCTATGATCATCCAAGGCTGGAAGCACATCCCGCCGAGGCAGACAGAAGCAGCACAACGGCTCTCACACAGAAAACATTTTTCAAAGCAGGGGACTAGACAGACGGCTGTACCGCTAGGTCAGAACCTATTTTGCTGAGCACGCTGACTTCTGGATGATGCACAGCTCCCATCTTGTATTGATAGGCATGACAATTAAGATTTCCCCCCTGCCCCCTTAGGAATATGTAGGTTAAAGCTGCTTATTTTATGACTTGGCTGTTTACTGTAGGATAGTACATCAGGAGAGACATCCTTCAGGCTTCTTTGCAATGATACCTTATCTTATACGGCGGTAGCACGATTCCTATCCCAGTTACAACAACCGGCTCATTCCTACTCATTAACAAACAGCGGGCTGCTCACGGAAATATTCCATTTATTGTGGATGCAGTTTCAGAATACATTGTTTGAACAAATCATTTTTATTGCAGCTATGGGATGTATTTGAAAGACTCAGAGGAGTGTTTACAAACCCCCCAACAAAAAACATGACAACTCACAGACAATGTCAGGCACAATTTCACCCCCTACAGATAACTATGTGCACCTCTGTATGTAAACAAGATGTTTCAGCCAAGCAAGGGAGCTCATCTTTAGGTTGATATATAGTATTATTCTTCTTTAGGAAGAAGTCAGATGCTGTAAGAGATGGAAGTGGTGAAAAGGGAGATTGTGGTAGTTCCGATGCACACCAAAGCTGTTAACAACATGCTCAGGGGCTACTTTAGTTGCTCAGTTTATGCCACCCATACACTGTAGGATGTAAATATTAAACTGTATGGCATGTAAATTCAAACCAAGCTGACGTCTTATAGCCATGTGTTTACTATATACAAATGAAAACATCTGTAAATAAGATATTCGGGAGAGAGAGTTAAAAAGAAGCACTATAGAGGTTTACTTCATTTTAGGTGGACTTAGTGTACGGCACTGATGGATGGCAAGATTTAGTGTACAGTCATTTGAAACAAGCTCCAACTGTGTTTAGGTTTTTTTCTTTTTAATTATGGTAGTTTTATATAAATTAGACTACAATGTTTTATACAAGTGACCTATTTTTGACCCTCTATACCCTTACCTTTTCCTCTTTTAAAAACTATACTTTCTTTTTAATTACCCGTTACTGGGCAACTGACATTTAAAAATTTTTAATACTTATCTCACCATACCTCTAATGGCATTTATGAAATCTTACTATAGAAAAGTGTGTGATTTTGTCTTTATTTTTTTAAGCTGTGATATTGGCTAGTTATGTATGTTTATTACTAAATATAATACTCTAGCATGTATTAAAGCATTCTACCATTAGTAGTGCCTTTAGGCTAAACTTTGTAAAGCTATGTGTGTATATATTCTAAATTGCATTCAATTAACTAGTCACTAACAACAAAAAGAAATATCAGTACCGCTGTCAGCTAACATAATCATCCGAATTCAGGTATTAACTTAAACTAGAATGGAAAAATTGATACTTAAAAAAAGTATAAAACAAAAAAATTAAAACACGTTATTGATGCAGTATTTCTCATGACATGGGCAACTTACAGAAAATATTACATTGTCAACTAAAGATATTTCTTCCATGCCTTAGTCTAAAGTGCAGAAAGAAAGACTTCTGTATTACAAAAGTAACCATTGTTTTTATAGGTTTACTGCACACCTTTCTTAAGCAACTTCACTTTACATGCATTTTGGGTTGACCTCTTATGCCAGTTGAAATCACTGTTCAGATACATAGTTAGTTACGACTATCAGTAGAAGAGTCTATATATTTCACAGCATGGGTTTCTTTAGGAATAAAGGCTCTTGTGCAAAGGCAGTACTATTATGATGAATGTCTAGACTGATTATTAAATACAGTGCTAATATACATGGTTTTAACTGGGATAATGCAAAAAGACATTTTGGTAAATAAACATAAATATAAAAAGAACAATTTAGCACTTTTTCTTTTTTTTTTTGTTTTCCCCCGATTGGTCCAGCGTCTTTAGCGGCCTTCTACGGTTCTTTCTCAAATTGTCTCAAACCTGCTGAGAAAGAGAAAGATTAAAGATGGCCTGAAATAACCCAAATGTATCTCTAAACAGAGAAAACATGGCTCTAAACACACAGCCTGTAAGAAGGCAGGACACAAGCTGTATGCTGCTGTGCTTGTATACTGGGATTGCTCAGAGGTGATCTCCGAGAGGACAGGCAGGATATCCCCTCTCTTGCCTCTGACAGCCCCGGGAAGGAGCTCAGGGAGAGCTCAGGAGCTTCCCACCCAGAAATGCCGGGGGTGCTGCACCCATCGCTCTCCCCGGCCACGCGTGGGGGGCTGCCATGCTAAGGCAGGCTCTGCTGCAGTGCTTGGTACCTGCGCTCCAAGTCCAGAGCAAGACTGAAAGGTGGCTCCCGAGAGCCTCCTCCTGCAACCCCTCTGCTGAAGCCTTCATCCCACTCAGCCTTAGAGGAGAGGCTCGGTGGCGTCCCAACCGCTCAGCGGGGTCTGCTCCTGTGGGCGATGGTGCGCAACTGCTAACACCTTCCAAGGGAGCAGAGCCGTGCCAACGCTAGGAGTCTGAAAACCCCTGTCCTAACAGCTCGGTTTAAAAAAGGAGAACAGGAGGAAGACAATGCCATTTTGTGTGACTAAACTGATAAGAAAAGTTTACAGGCATACCATTCCTCTGGCTTCCCATACGAATGTGAAGGAAAATGTATGCACATATTAATGTGTAGAAAAGCAAAAGTTTTTCTATACTTGATCATTTCATTCCTAGGGAAGAGTCAAGGGATGTTGCAAGGCATCTTTAAAGCTATTAAACTGATCAGTGAATTTTCATTCTTCCCCACTGGTCCTTAGGCACATAATTCCTTTAATTGGTTTTATTTGGAGTGGTTTAGATTAAAATAAAAAAAAAGCTAGGAGGGTAATTTTGTTGATTTCTTTCTGTACAACTAGGTTGTGTTTCCCAAGCTAGGAGTTTCAAAATGACAGTAGTTAGACTCTTTTTGCCTTGAGAAGACACCAATGCACAGCTCCAGCAAAAGCAGTGCTGCCGCTGAGTGTGTTTCAACTCCAGTCCAGTCTGGGTATGCAGGAGCACATAAGACACACAACCAGCCAGAGGAATTATTTTTAAAAATCAACACTGCTGAATTTTCATCAGGCTTCACCATTACCCAGTGGCAGTGTTTGAAACCAGATGCAGGACTCATTCTCAGTAGTACTGAAATCTTCTATTTCTGCTCAAATAATTTTGCTACAACAGTCTCGGGTTTGGGGGTCTCCCTCTCCCCTCATGAAAGGCGTATCCATTGCCGCTGCAGCCTTTAAAAGATCCCTTCCCAGATGCTTTGCATTTACTGTAATTAGTTAAATGACCATCCCATTCCTCAGATCTCACACAGTTTAATGATACTCTCCAGCTACAGCAAACATGCTACACGTGTCACTGGAACAAGGCTTTGCAAACACGGCTGGAGCACTGTTCATCCTCAGTCCTCCTAGGAAGATGATTTAGGTTTATTTCTCAAACATTCATGTTTTGATGATATTGCAATGCAGCGTTTGAAAGGCAAAGGCAAAAAGCGTTTTTGTTTTTTGCATCAACATTAACAGCTGTAGAATTTTTAAACACAGATATGCCTGTGCAAAAATTTGGCAATAGTTCTATTTAATATGCAGGTGTATTATTAGAATTACTTACCATTAGTCTCTGATTTTTTCCCCATAGCTGATACCTGTTTGAAAAAGTAATAATCCATTATTAAAGTTGAGTATGGGAAAACATAGCTATTTCTAACAGGAAAAAAATCAACTCCATGCAAAGGACAGATTTCCACACACAACACAGCTCTGCCAAATAGGAATATAAAAGTTACACGCTGCCCATGGCTTCCTGCGCCTCATTGTACTTTATTTTACAGATTAAAAGGCAGGTTAGTAACAAAAGACATGTAGAGGCTTAATTCCAACTGACTGACTGTATGAAGGCAAACGGTACTTTCCCCCTAGAAAGCCTCCCACAGAAATATTATCCTTTTAACAATGGACTGAATTGTTACCTTAGAAGAAGAAGAAGCTGGCTTTTCAACTGACTGCTTCTCCCAGAGATTACGCTTGCTGGATACGTCTCCTGGTTTTAAATCCTGTATTTTTAAATTAATGTCAGAGAACAGAAACCAACATTAGTTCGGGTTTATTTTAATTTGTTAGAGAAAACATTAGAATGCGACTTCCTCATAAGAAAAGTTGAGGAGCATCCACCGGTGGTAAATATTACATTGTCTATCAATTATAAAGCTATTCAGAATGACACATCACATGATGACTCCACACATATACATGCTTTACGACAAAAACCAATCCTGCTGCACCTATTTAATATTGCACAGACTGGCCATAACTTATTTTGTTCATCCTAGAGATTGAAAAGTTACTGCACCATCAGGTTTTTAAGAAGGACAATTCCAATTTTTGCAGAAAAGAATATTTTTTTCAGAAATAGTATTTCTATTAGGGAAGAATTCAAAGTAGCTTGTCTCAGTTTAGACTAGGAACAAAATATTTTGTTAAAAAAACTGTTAAAAAAAAAGAGTAGGATTTCTAATACAACAGAAAAGCAGATCCTCCTCTGCATCCTTAAATAGAGGTTTCAGAATTTAACACTGTAGTCCTTCATATCCATTTGAATTTCCATTGCATCCTTTAAGATCTTAGCATGTACCAATCGCCCAACAGAAAAAAACAGGTGAGGTAAAGTCATTAAAAAATAACAATATTCTCTGAAAATGAGCGTACATGGAGACTTTAAGCAAAACTCAATAAAAATTTCAAGCTGTTTCTTGGGGAAAAGCAGGAGTACAAATCAAGATGACATAGGCTAGGCTAGTAGCAATGCACCTGCTTAAGGACAGATAGGTTGGTATCTACCTCTGTGGTTGCAAACAAAAGACTTTTGAAACAATTTTGGACATAAGTACTCTCAATTTCAAAAAGCGTTCAAGTCCTGCACAGTTCCCAGAATGTTGTTGTTGCCATCCATAGATAGGTAGTTTTCTGCACATGAGAATTTCTAACTTGGGATAGAAAAATGCCCAGTGATGAATGGAAGTGTGATTTCTGCAAGAGGTATTTGCACTCAGCAGAGATGCTTTAGAACTGATCATAATTTATAGCCAAACAGGGCTGCTGACAGTTAATACTTTAAGCCAATTCTGTACTTCAAAAAGTGAGTTCAGCAATAACAGAGGAAGGAACAAAACAGCAAAATTGCAGTGGACCTTATCACAAAACCACTTCCATAATCCTGAAATCATTTGGGATCTATGATTTAGGTTCACCATAAAACTAACTGAGATCTTTTCTCCCTCTACTTTTAATTGAATGTTGTTCAAAACCCACAAGAATCTTGATGGTCGCAGAAGTTTCGAACAATTCTTTATTTTGGTAGAATGTGATGAAGGTAGGAAGTTATTTGCTAACAAAGAAATTCTAGGTTTCTCTTTGATTTATCCTGGTAAAAAAAAAAAAGTAAAAATCACACCCTATGGATATATCTCATTCTTCATAGTCAATCATAAACAGGTTTACCTGACCAACTTAGCAAACAGACCCCCAGAGAGGAATAGGAGGAGGGCAGGTTCCTTCAAGCAGATACATTGAAAGAAGAAAGAACAATCTATTGAGAAAGAGGGAAATGAAGACATAGGTAGAAACAGTTGGCTGAGGGGAAAACAAGAGGTTAGTTTTACATTATCTAAAAGATGCAACTTAGAAGAAAGAGAGGAAAATCTGGAGGCAGATTCTGTGCTGGTTTTCAGCAGTTGTGTTTAAATACAGCAACCATAATGACTTCTGTTGGTTTTATATTCATATCCATAAGGATGGAATCTCCATGTAGCTACCAGCAAATACTGACATTAGGGACAACATTGCAAATTTCAAGCTCCAATTTGAGACAAATGGGAGTGTGAATTGAGAAAGTGTTTTTCAGGCTGCACCTTTTATAAAGGGCAAGTGGACTGGCAGAAAAACACAACACAAGGATATGGGAAGAAACCAGTTCTTTAATAAAATCCCAAAGTTGAATCATAAACACCACGAGTGATGCCCTGCCATTCTCCAATATGGGCGGCTACAGCTCCAGTTCCTCACCTCTACCCTTCTCCACTCCACAATTACCTATTTCTGCTCCTTCCCACATCCACACTGCTACTTCCCACACTCCCAGCTTATTACTTTGATTGCATTTTCTACTCCGATTCTTGCTGAAGTAATGGGCATGCTAAAGGGCCTTCATTAGAAATTACATTTAGGCTATTAAAGGATTAACGTATTTCAGCTGTGTTTAAAAATATACTTGGAAGATTTTTACAGGGCAAGGGACAAAGCACAATTGCTTTCTTCCAAGTCTATGGCTGGTAATTTCTAAATTAACGGTAGGGCTTTCACAGGGGGAAAATTAATGTCCTTCTCTACCAGAGAAGTGCTTCTCTGAGTACTGTCTTTTTAGAGCAACCCTAAGGTTTAAGGTGAGAACTGCCCTGTTTCATCTCCCCCTTTTCTGACTACCCAGGAGTCAGCAGCCAGAGGGCCTCTGTGAGTCATTCCAAGAGAGGACGAGCGGCAAGATTCCTCCAAAGACCATCAGCTGGTTGAGGAAGCACCACCACCACCTCTGCCCCAGGAGAGAACCCACCTACTGAAGAGATGGCTGTTGCAAGTTTACTTACAGAAGGTTTTGGAGCAGGTGATCTGTTGCTCTCTGGGGTCTTGGTTAACCACTCGTTGATACGACTGGTGACACCAACCTTCAGTCCAGCAGTTTCCTGCAAAATAATAAAATCTAATCAGAAGACTTTAAGAATAGCTTTTGCTATGTTTTCCACAGTTTAGATTTAAAAACAAAGCCAAGCCTGAGTTTAATATAGAGGTCCTCACTGAGACTATGGTTAGCTAAGAGGCATCCTGGGTGCTCTGAAGGTATTGTCCCTATGAACTACACAGTACTACCAAGCTCAATAATGATAGAAGTGGGCTGACAAAATCATTTCCACTTTAGTGCTAACCCAGGAATAAACATTAGACATAAACCTGCTGTTTCTGTCATAACCCCAAACTTCAAGGAGAAAAAATCTTTAGCTTAAAGAGGAAGAGACACCAGTCTAAGTCTACAGCTTCGTTATGTTAAACTAAAATTTTTCAAAAAAGCACATAACAGAGGAGTTAAGTGGTCTACCATTTAAATCATTAAAATAAAACTTTAAAAGGCTAGAACAAATTACTGAAACTTCATGGCTATCTGTAATAATCCCCTTCAATCCATGGCTCAGTTTTTTCGGCTATGATGAATGCTTATCAACTTACATCAATTTATAGAAAGGAAATATTGCCTTAAGGATTTACGTAGAAAAGATAAACATCTCACAAATGCTTCTATGCATTATCTATAAAACACCATCATTATCTTGCCCCCCTCTGCCCCACAAAAGAATCTTTCCCAACACAAAGAATTTCTTTGTACTCTGCTTGAACTACCCAGATATATTTGTCCAAGATATCTGATGTGGCTCTGGAATGTCTCATAACTTAGCTCAGTATGTCACTAAATTCTTCTGCTATACTCAATATTGCAGCCACACATTTTTGTGGGTTTCTGAGGACCTCAAGATCCTTGGGGATATTCTTCACCAGTGATGTCAACAGGAGCAGCCAGGCTTACTCATAGGAACATGAATAGCAAGGTCAGGTCTATAACATAATTCTTTATAATCACTATGTAAAATTTAACACGTACCTTATTTGGGGTTCCTGTCCCAGAGGGTGATGAAAAAACATTCCCTTTCTCCCACATGTTCTTAATATTACGGACACCCTCAGCTGGAACAGGCAGGTCGGAGGCTGCTGGCTTAGCTGGTCTTGCAGCCTTTGTGCCCTGCAGAAGAATTGAGGCCAGTTGGTGTTTGGCATTAAGAGCTGGAGTTGCAGGGTGGTTTGACTCTGGGGCAGTGCTGAGGAATGCAGCAGCTGTAAGTGGTTCTAGCAATGATCATGCAAAGACAGAAAGGAGTACCCAACTCAAGAGGTGCCACTGAGACTCTCCCCCTTTTGATTTGCAGTTGCACCCTTGACACAACCTGCTATGAAAACTGCAATTGTTTAGATTTTTGCATTTGTTAAATTTCTAAAGCTCATGGCAAACCATAGCTCTGCACACAACTGCTCCGAGGCTTTCATCTGTCCTCCCTCAAGTCTTAGCATCTGCATCATGTAAGCATGGCTCCTTCAGGGACACAGCTAAGGAAATCCTTATGTGGAGGCAGGGGGAAAAGGCTGCCCTGTCATTCAGCATCAGACTCTGCTCCATCTGTCTCAGACAACTTAAGCTCACAACTCGGGATTCTAGGGGTAAATTTCAGCAATTACAGTATATTTGGAATGAGGTAGTTTTTTAAAGAGTGGGGGACTGGGGGTTTTTTGGCAGTGTGTCTTTTGCATTGTTACCAAAAACACTGGACCAAACTCCTCCTGTTCCTTCTTTTCAAAATTTTTGTACATTTTACATAAGACAGATTTGAAGAGAATAAGAACCTGTACGAGCTGAGGCTTTGCCTCTCTAGTTGCAAAGCAAGGCAGATTTGGCAACTTTTGGAAAAATCAAAAACTCAGCAAAAGAATAATTTCAGGTCAGATGAGAGCTGTATACAGTTCTGAAGCTGCACAGCCTGCCCACCCCTTGCCGTAGAGCTATGCTTTTTAATATCTAAATGGAGCATAAAGACTCAGGACCTTAGCACAGCCCTACTGAAAATACTGGAGAACCTAATATAAGCTGCTGGGTGGGCTGGTCCAGTGTTTACAGGTTGACAAACCCCGAGTTCACTATTACATAAATTTCTTATGGCAGATGGAGCTGTACCTCCAACCCATCCACTCTTTTTAAGGAGTTTAACACCAAATCCCAGTGCCAAATCAAAGCCCTTGGTCATGCTAGGGTGGTTACATCTCATCCAGAAAAGGCGCAGAGTGAAGCAGGAGGACAGAAGCTGTATGCTCCTACTTTGATGATATAGGGACTACTGGGTGCCATACTGACATTCATCTCTAATGGAGAGGTTTGAGCTACCTTCAGCTTGACATAGGCACTGGAGGCAAGCCTGAGCCTTCAGCACTGTCATGCATGCGCTTTTTTCATCGGGAACTGACACACAGTATAAAACTCTCCAGCACTGATAGGCTTCCTAGCAGAAAGGTTAAACGAACAGCAGTCACAGAAAAAAGCTTTTGTTAATTGATCTTTAATTACTTGTTTCCTTTAAGTTAAAGGATAATAAAGCCTAACCAATTAATACCTTAACGGAATAGCATGCTTAGACTCTATATGTGAACAAGAGGAGAAAAAAAAAATCCAGCAGGGAATGAAGAAGTGCCAGACCTTAATCACAGCTATCAAGATAATATCCCTTTTTATACTATTCTATTCCCATGACACTTACCAACTCAGTCCAGTTGGCCTGCTATATTAACCAGTAGCTTTCACATTGCCTATACTCACTGATTTATTAAAAAAGGCTTAAAAAAAACCCCAAAATAAAAGTAAACACCTATTCTTCCTTGGACCATGAAAAGAAAAACCCTCAATTCTGGCTTCAAGGCACATTATTAGCCACTACTTGTCAACATCACCTGGGGTCAAATTCTGGATTTTATTTTGATTCTGTTTTTCCTTTGTCACTACTTAACTCCCTAGCTCACTAAAGTGTCTGTCTTTGCCAAGGAATTTCACTCTGAAGTGGCAGCCAGGAACACAGGCCCAGTTCATTGCTCTGCTAAATAAGCTGCTAAGTCAGCTTTGCTCAGGATGACTATCAGCTCTCTGCTGATAGTACTTTCATCAGCCAAGAAGAAGAGGATGCGACTGTCACTCAAGAGATGCTGACCGAGTCCTTCAAGAGCTACTCCAAGCTTACAAAGCAGAGTACATTGTAGCATGAAAGAGAAGACACCATCTAAGGTTTTGTTTAGATACATATCTAGATGTTGGTCATGGGTGTGCCTCAAGAACAAAGTTCTTGAAGTTGCATAAAAAAAGTTTGTGACCAAAAATCCCTGCAATTCTTGAACAGTAAAAAACATAGGCTGATTTAAGTCCCCAAAGCCATCAGTAACTAGAGCAATTGTGACCTGGAATTAACTTACCTCAATTGCACTAGTGTATTGCTCAAGTCTACTGTCAATCTTTGAGACAACTGCTGTCGTGTGGGTGGGTTTCATACCACTGTAAGAAGTAGAAAAAAGAGAGAAAGAAACTATTATTCCCCCCAGTTAAACACTGCTGTTTTGACTGAACCTAGTGTTTTATTGCTTTACCTCTTCTGAGCGGATTTGTTCAAAAATTCTGCTCGCTCCTCTATCTAGAAAAGAGACAAACAAGAGCTATAAGTTTAAAGTTAATAAAAAGGCAGTCTGTACAAGGCCAGGTTAAAATCTCATCTTAAATGTCAAAAGATCAATCTGAAAGAGATGCATTCCAACAGAAATCACCACAGACACACACAGAGGTTTTATAGTTAGGAGCCTATTACGCTACATATACGTAAAGGTGGATATCTTTTCTGCATTAATGTTTGCATCCTGAATATCTCTTCAATGCCTCATTTGTAAGGCATATGTAAGAAAATAAACCACCAATACAGAAAGAAGAAAAGGGAAGAAGTTCTTCTTATGAAAGGTGTTGATATTCACGAAATCTATGTCAAATTTCCTCATATCTCCCACAAAAGAGCAAGTATGTAACTCTTGAGACAGACAGTAAATTTAATAAGGTTTTTCTGAGTTGAGACATCAGACTAGGCCACATTTGGAGCTCGGCCACATACCCTATCTCATGCATGTTTTTGTAGGACACTGACAATTTAATCTGAGCTCCAAAAAACCAATCAGACTGTCCTCTGCTCATGTTGAAGCAGGATCACTGCTATATCTACCAGCTGTTATTTTATACAAACCAGTATCTTACATTTGATCATTATTTCCCATCTGTGTGTATGGAAATCTTGTAATATTTCCAGGGAAAAAGAATCATGAAGGTCTCGTAAGATTTATGCCAAATCTCTTGATAATTTGAAAACAAAAAGACTCCATCCCTGAATAAAGTTTTTAAATATTTCACGATGCAAGGGGGGTATATATTTGCATTCTGGGTCAAGAAATACTTTAATCAAACATCCTCAAGTGTCTTCCACATTGCATTGTTCCACTTCTTGTTCCAGGCTCTACAGTTTCACTTAAGAGTAAAATATACACAGGCAGCTCCATGGGATAGAAATGACTATTAATCAAGCCTGGCTGAATTCCTGGGGATTCCCGTCTCAGTATGGGTCATCCATTTTCAAGTTACTTTCACAGTGACTGCTGTGGCATTCATGCCTTATTAAATAAGGCAGTGACAGCCATTCCTTTAAATGGTTCTCCTCGGTGCCCTTAGCATCCAGGCTGCACCGGAATACTAAATCCCACAGCAATCCCATCAACGGGCACGCATGTTTTATTTCTCAAGCGCACGCAAGCAAAAAGTCAGGCGGTTCACTTCAGCGCAGGATTCACCAAACAAGCTCACTGGAGGAACTCCAGCTAGCATCAATCCGGCTCAAATGCGCCTCTAAAGCTCAAAGAAGCTGGCGTGCAATTTACAGAGTAATCTACGTTAACGGTTTTAGTGGCCAATACACGATCTAAATACGGTCCCGAGTGGAAAGACGGGCTTTGCTCGGGGAGGTCCCCGCTGTTCCAACGCGCTGCTGTCACACGGTGGCAGCACCACAGCGGGCAGGAGGCGCAGAGCCGCGCACGGCCCGCCGCTGGGCCTGCGGGCTGCACCGCTTCGTCTCCCCCCGAGGAAATAAGTCGGCGTCGCCATAGAACGGGCAAGTAAATGTCTTGATTGAAAGCGACGACACAGATCTGCGGTGGTAACTTAAAACACGTCACCTCTCCTCGACTGTGGTATAGGAGGAAAGGCTTCCCACAACGCTGATTTCTGGGTCATAACCAGCAAGGCTTCAAAACGATGAGTTACACCAACGAGAGCCGCTGGTTTCTCCCCTGCACTGTATGAACGGGCAGTTCCCTCCCTGCATCGGTGGAACCCTGGCTGGCAGCAAGGACAAACACTATGGACTATCTCAGAACACCGGGACTCAAGGTAACCATCTAAGAATTCGTTTACAGCCTCTTCTGGTTCAGATGAACTGAGAATCCACTTGAAATCTTACAAAAGGGACAGACCTTACAAGATACCAACAGTAGACTCTTTATAGTCTTCCCACATTCAGGAAGGAGAGATGTTTCTACACAGCAGGAAAACTTGGCTTCAGTAGGCACTGGTGTAAGAGGGGGATAGGTTGGGGGGAAGAGGGACATGTATTCTCAGGTTTACTACATTATTGTAGCGAAAAGGCATGGGGTCATTCTTCACCCACTGGGAACAGCAGTTCTCAGAGCACCCGCTGTGGTATCAGGAATGAGTCGTGGATTGTTCAGAACAGGAGAGTAAGGAAGCAAACCAGAAAATAAGTTAAACAGGAAAGCAGTTAGGAAGTGACCCTCAGAGCTGAAAATGGTCCTCTTCCCACGGAAGCAGGTGCTTTGTGTGGATGGATAACACATTTTCTGCACATTTATATGAGAATTTGTTCTAGAGCATCTTCCTCAAAATACAGCATGCATGAAACAGAAGCGTACGTTGAATACACTTGAAGCAAACAAAGCAAACACACCTGTATACACACATGTATTCAACATACAGGTCAAATACATTAAGACTGCACAGCAACATCTAAAGGCCATTTATCCACTGCACACCACACAAAGTCCATGCAAAGAATTTAAAATGTTTGGCACATACAGTAAACAGTATTACAAAATAGATCTGTAAGAGAAACAGGCAAAGCAAGGTGGTTAGTACAAAATGCAAGATATTTCCTCAAAGTGAGACCAGGAAATAAGAATAATCTTTTTGCTGCATTCGTTTTAAGAGGATCTGGTTAAATAGCTTGGACTATGTTTTGTCAACATGGAATACTTTTCCAAAGCCTCTGACACAGAACACACACATACTCCAAAAAGGCGACCTGCTGGCCTCCAGTTAAATTATGACCAGAGAGAAAGAACACAACATCTCAGGCTGCCTCTCTCCCACCTAACCTCCGTTGCTTGAAAGTTAAGCATTTAGTCAAAATTACTCATTTTGGTTCCCTCTATAGTCAGTGAAGAGGCAGAGGAGCTCACCCTAGAAAAGGTAGGATTGCTTGTCCACTGAGGGTGGCTCTCTCTCTGTTGACTACCAAAGAAGCTCAGATTAGGCAACGAAATACTTAGATGGACACCTACACTTCTGCTGGTGAAGTCAGATGAAGTGATACCAATGGACATAAATCAAAACCATGTGGATTCTCACACCTTATTAGGGCCTTACTCAACAGAGTCGGCACAAACAGGTGGCAAGGAATAACTTAAGCAAGATGTTATACAGAGATATATGTATGCATTTATCCACATTCAATATTATATAGACATGTTTTGTTCCCTAATTGTGCAAGAAATGTCTTGCCTATTAAAAATGCAGTTAAATTGTGGATGTCACAGTGTACACAGTGTACTGTCTTCCATCTGCACATTCTTCAAGAACAGAATGGAAGAGGAATGATTTAACACACAATTTGAGCCAGTGACTTGGGGAAAAAACCCATCAAGATATGCCCAGTAAAACTTGTTTCATACAAAGGTATTAAATGATTCTTCAGAATTTGAAACTGCGTATTAGATATCATGCAACAGAAAGTGTTGTGAACTGATATATATAAAAGCTTTTCTCAAAAAAAAAAGGGGTCAAGGAGGAAGGGGAATAAGAAATGCACACAGAAAACAGAAATCCCTGCATTAAAATTTTGCCTCATATCCAACAGGTGGAAGAACCTAGTGGAAACCCATTTAGAGTGGTAGTCCCTGGGAGTAAAGTGGCTTTTCCTTATCCTTCCCGAGTGGCTCACGTGCTCTTTTGCTTCATTAAGCACAGTTAGGCTTTTTCCTGCTGTCAGCAGCATCCATGCAGAGTGCACCAATTTACTCCAGTTTATCTGCCAGACTAGAGAGCTTCCATCAGCATCAAAGACGGGGGAAAAACAAATGTCACAAATCCTGTTCTTACCATTCTATCTTCCCTCTGCTGCAAAAGTAGCTCATCTAGGAAGAACTGATTGTGTGGATTCTAACTCTTTCCAGTCACTGCTCCAGCTGTCAGGTATTGAAAGCAATAATGAGATAGGATAAGACAGGTCTTTAAAGAAAGAAAGAAAAAAAACCCTGAAAGTCCTATCCTCTGGCTTAGCTGTCAGCATTTCCTTGCAGAGAGTGCAGGCTGCCACATCAGCCCATGTCTCCCAGGAGACATTTTCTGCAAAGACAGAAGATATCCCAGGCTACCAGCCTCCTGCCATTGCTTCCTTCCCTCAATGTCTAACTGCTTTTGCATTTCTGTAGTGGTGGAGCTCACCCCCAAGAGAAGACTTAGTATTGAAATATCCTGTTCTCTCCTCATTAACCTCGAGAATAATTATACAAGAAGTCAATAACACTCCTTCCCAAAGAAAACATGAGGAATGAACTTGTGTAAAAAGGAAAATGAACAAAGATTATGCAGGAAATCTCATTTTTCTACCACAGCACCATTTGTGTGAACTAAACTAGGGAAAGCATGAGCTAGAGCAGGATGGGAGAGCAGCAGAGGTTGTTCCAGTCTTTGTCCTTATTAAAAAAAAAAAAAAAACCAAACCAAAACAAAAACAGGCAAGAGAGCAGAGGTTGAACAGAGGTTTGGTACTGCTGCTACTGCCCACAGGGAGTCCACCAGCCCTGAGAAATCCAAGCTGCTTCTGTTCCTTAGCTAGTGATGAACTTGGCCTGTATTTACTTTGCATGCTTCCTCTTCACTGTCCCCTCAGAAAGGACCAGCCCTCAAGCTGTAAATGGGAGGACTCCATGCTGCCGTAGTAGTTCTGCTGAAGTAGTGTCTCAGGTTTCAGGGAAATATTGTATTTAACAGTTAAAACAACAGGAGTTGTCAATACTGTGTAGGCTGTGCTTTAGTAGAGGCCAGACTAGATAATCATAGTAGTTCTTTCTAAATACAAGCATGTATGTATATTATGTCTGTGTTTGTATACATGTATTTATATATGTGCATCCATGAGCCATGTAATAGATGGAGATGAGTTGCACATCTTGGTCTCTCAATTCTGAGTCTGCATGTCATGCTACTCCATGCCCTGCGTGATGGATAAATGCAGTGTCCATAAGATGGTAATATGCCATGCTGCTTTTCAGTTTATCTCCCTTCTGTCCTTTGTTCTTGTAGTTCACTTTGTAAACAGCACGCCCTACTTTCCTCATCTAAGTCACTCCTAGGAACTTCTTTTTCTCCCCCAAAACTTATCACATCAGGAAGGACAAGGAAGGAGAAAAAGATGCTTTGCCACATTGTGATCTAGGAGAAGTCAGAATGTGCACATATATCATACAGTATTTTAATACTGAGCCTCCCTTTTTTCATTATTCATTCCAACCTCCCACCCACAATTGTGCATTTAGGGTTCTCACATGACCCATGACACATCTAACCAGATGATACATTCATCAAGGGAGAAAATATGTGCCAGATGCTTTATAACTCAAAAGATAACTTGGGCAGTGCATAACAGGCAATGAGAAAGCTGTGTCCCAACCAGGTTAGACCAGCCTGAGAAGTCTGTCCAAATGAAAGGTAACAAAATATACTGTCTTCTAAAAACTGCAGTTTGACATCAAATTTGACATCAGGTTATTAAAAAGAGATTAATCTCTCCTCAGCTATTGACCACAGAAGGCCAAGAAACAGTTTAGGGTGTGAAGTTCAACAGCATTACGTATCTACTCTGGCCACCCACAGACACCAGACTGGAATATGTACAGTATCACCAGAGAAAGAGAAAAAACATGTACAGAGTTGCATATATCAGTTTTTGTAACAAATAACTTCTACCTAACAAGCCATAAAATCCAGCAGCAATTATCATCATAAAAAAATTGGACCTTGGATGCTTAACGACATTTGGAAAATTCCAGCTTTCCTCTAAAAATACACTTAGTAGAGTAGTGTAGCATCAGTCCAAAAGTTCTCTGAAAGCTATTAACCTCCTGCCAAATCCAGTGTTTTTTCCCACTCTCCCCAAAATTATGATCTATATCTTTCTATTATGTGTTTTCAAGTATAATTTCCTCTCTTCTGAGTCATCTGTGAACTAAAGCTCCAAATGTGTCATAAAAGGCATCTCAATAAACAGAAAGAAGAAAAGGAAGCCCTCCCAGGAGGGCTGGGAAGAAGCTGTACATTTATAGTGTCTGTTACTGACATGGTCTTCTGCAACCAAAATGGCAAGACCAGGTTTATCTAACAGGAGCAAGTTGTGAAGCTTGGCATTCTTTGTTTACAGCTGTAGGTATTCTGTCCTTGTATTTCAGGTTCAGATGTGTCTGAGAAGTCAAAGGCAAGTCCAGTCAAAAGCATTTGGACACTGTATTTGCTAGAACTGGACCCAAAACAGTATAGGGCTGAAGCTCCAGATCGGTTCAAAGTGTAGCGTTATCTGACTTGCAATATAATATGGGCCACAGAAGACCACTTAGAAATTCCTGCAGCAACAGAAGGGGTTTTTTTTCCCTGTTACGTAAGAAAATGAAATCCAGCCCAGTACTTCTAGATGTTATTTTTAGGGGGATTAGACATAAACTAGCACTCCCATATGGGGCAGTTTCAATTAATGATGATTAGGCTAAATATGCTTAAAGACAAAGTAATCTGGCAAGGAAGAAAGTAATTGTGGATGTAGAAGGAGAGAGAGAATATTTGTGATCTTTATCTACTCCAGTTCACAAAGCACTCCTATAATAAATTAACATTGAAAATCAACACAGTAATACAGCTCTAAATTTCCAAAATAATTCTTTCTTGAAGATGAAGATCCCTTTTGGACATTTTCCATGAACAAGAACAGGTAACTCCCAGTCTAGACTCTATTTTTAGAAAGGATCTCTAATTTTCAATCATCCCAATGAATGAAGTCTTTCAGCTAACGGTTTCAGGCTAAGGTCTATTCCAGAGCATTGTCCAAGGTCTGATTTCAAGTATTTCCACACAGCTTTGGTGTTTGGCTGTTCGTTTGGACTGCAACTCCCATTACTTTTTATGTACTATATAGAAGTTAGTGTGTAGGTTACCTTGAGAGATGAACCTTTAGGACTGAAACATTTAAATGGCTTCTTGTCTTCAGATGCACCATCTTCTGGCATCTTTTGACGTTTCTCAGCAGCTTCAGCCCTTCTCCTTTCAATTTCTTCCTTCATCCTCCTCTTTTCCTCCTTAAAAAATATGAATGGTCACTTATTCTTTCAGAAACTACATCACCATTACAGGGCTTTGCAGTCCTTCAAACATTTACCAGATTTTCTAAGAACAGATTTTTATGCCAATCAAAAAAGTTCAGTGACCTATCTGAAAACTAGCAATGTATTGCTGCTTATCCATCACAGTGCTAAGGAAGTAGGGAAGACAGCTAGTCTGTGCTGCTTTAGTGTCTCCTCACAGTGAGGTCACCAGATTTATTGCCATATAGTGCCGCTTAAAGCACATTTATAAAAATACGCAAATTCAGTTTCTCTGTATCCTCATGTATCATCTTTGTACTGTTCTTCTGTCCATCTACTCTGTCGCTTGTTGTTCCAATGTTAATACTTCACAAGGAAGAATCAATAGGTGCCCCAAAAAAGCAAATATTACACGCTTACAGTTCTCCCTCCGAAGAGGTAACATGAGTTTTTACTTCGTAAGCTACAAGTCAAACCAGGAGCCCTCAAAGCACAACCATTGTGAGCACTGGTCAGCAGGGTCTGCCCAGCAAGGAATTGTGCAATCTCAGCATCTATTAAGTTCTACTGTAAAGAGCTTAGTATATTAAAGCAATTGGCCAAAACACTGCCAAACACTATTATTATTCATCTACCATTTGTTTTCCAAACAACTAAGATTCCTAAATGATGCACCAGAGATTTCGAAATCCTATTTATAGAGTCCCTTGGCAGAGGCAGTACAAGCAAACAGATGTGCTTGGGTACTCGCTATTTAAATAGACAGGAATATCTTCCTAATGAGCTCCTAACATCTTCCTAATGAAAATATTTAAATAGACAAGAATATCTTCCTAATGAGATCCACCATAAGTATATATAACATGAACATTCCAGCTCATCTGCAGCAGACGAGTTTTGACATGCGCTTTGCAATTCAATTTGTGTAATGTCAAAAAGACATCACGAATAAATTAAGAACTGTGTGGCTGTAACACCACCCCCAACATTTTGTATCTCCAAGAAGATAAGAAATACGCAACTATCGCAGATGAAATCCTGACTCATGAAGACATATATTAGAGCCCTGTCTTTTCTGAGGCTAGAACTGTAACATTTCTTTCTACCCTGGATGACTGCACGTTTTACCTTGGGTCCTCACTAGAGCATCTATGTGATGTAGTCACTGGATAACAAATACAGCACACTTGCAGTTAAATCTGAAGGTTAGAAAATGGGGTGATTTTAATGCTGGGTAGCATATTTGAAATCAAGGTCTGTTGTGACAGACCATCTCCTGACAGACGCTAAGAAACAGTGACGGCCAGAAGAGCATGCAACTCGGAGGGCCCAGATAAAGGGTACAATTTGAAGCAAAGTCACAGCAGCAATTCCCCATACAGCAACACCAGATCCAAGAAGGAGAAGCACACTTGGGCCTGTATGCTTGTGTTTGGTCTTGTCTTCCTTGTTACACGCTCCTTCCTCATCTATGAGCCAGTCTCCCATGGCCTCATTGTGTCCTTTTGTCAAATACAGACCCATCGACCTCCAGCCCCACCAACTTCTTTGCCTAAAAGTGTCTGTGCAGACACTGCTGTAAAGAGTTATCAGCTAATGCAAGGCCAGTGGAAGTAAAGTAGTAACAACAAGGGAATAAAAACAGAGTCCAATGCTTCATCTTTTATGCTTACCTCCTCTCTGGCTTTTCTCTCGGCCTCCTCCTGCTTCTTCTTCTGCTCCTCTTCCTCCAGGATCTTCCGGCGCTCCTCCCGCCTTTTCTTCAGTTCGTCCAGCTCTGCCGCCGCCTCCTGCTGCTTCTCCTTCAGCTTCTCAAACTCCTCGTTCTCACCTCGGCGACGGCGCTGGTCTTCTAGCCGCCTTCCAGCCTCGACCTGAGACCCCAGCTTTCCTTCCTCGGCATTTGCGGTCCCTTTCAAATTGGAGCGGCTGGGAAAGAAATGAAAGGGAAGGTGATGCACCACAGGTTTTCCCTTCCTGGCCAGAGCCACCCCCTGCCACGTGCTCCCCAGCAATGCGAGAGCCCAGCACTCAAAGATATTGCCTTATAAGACCTTTTGCTCCTTGTAAACTATGACAGGCCTAAAACATCTTCATCAGGAGTTAGTAGGCTGGGATACTACAAGGAGCACCTGTCCCATCCACTGCCAGCGGGGAAGGAGTCTCTCGTGCTTGTGTGCACAGGAGCTGCACCACCCTGCCTGAGAACTCAGGCCACCTCCATTTTTAAAAGAATTCAGTAACTGAGCTGGAAATATTCAGCATCTCATGTAACTTCAGCAAGGAGTATCATATCTCATCACCATCTCTATGGTATACGGTAAATTGTTACAGTTTCACACCTCTGCTCTGCAGTTTGTCTACAGAGGAAACAGTTCCAAAAGCATATTATACTTCATACAGAAAACAAAGCAATGGAAAGCCATAACTATCTCCTCTCTGTTGATTTTCAATTAGATAAATTTACATATAAAAAACTCATAGCAAAAATATTATGCCATGTTCTATGTAATAAAAGATGCAGTAATCCTTTGTTTTCAAAGGCAAGTATTTTTTATAAACCCTCTACAAACAGACAAGCATCTTTGGGGACAGAACATATTACTTGACTTGGGGAAAACAGAAGGAGGTAAGAGAGGAGAAAGCATCTTACAGCTTCAACAGTGTTTTAAAAACCTAAAAAGGTTCCTATCTCATCTATAACATGTATCACTTTAACTCTCCCAGCCTGTATGAACAGAAAGGTTCATCAGATCTTTTGCTGACATTTTCCAGGGAAAGTATGACTTTTTATTAAGGAACTGGAAATTATTTATTAATGGCAACTTTCCACAGAAGAAAACCAGAAGTTTTCCAAACAGCTGTAATATATGAGACAGAAAGAAAGAATACCAAAAAAAAACCCACAAAGAATTTGCATAGGTGAAGTGCATACTTTCAACAGAATCAGATAGCATCACCTAGTTAAACAGTTACCACACCAGTGTTTAGACAAATGTCTGCTCCCTGAGTGCATTTAATATTACCGCTGACATGGAGATAGATACCTAAGAGGTATCAGTGTGCTATTCACAAAAGACAGACAAAAAGGGAATGTACTTATGATTTTTTTAAAAAAAACCTTTATGCTCTGTTCTGTTGGCATTTAAAAAAGCTGGATATTAATGATTTCAATAATGCAGAGTGTTGCAGAGTACCACAAGACAGTACAAATCAAGCATTCCAACAGTAACAATAACTGTTAGAGATGATCAGATTAGAGATGACAACATGAAGAACAAATATCATATAAATTTGCAGTCTGGTAGATCACACCCAATCCTGCAAAGGTGCTCTGAAGAGCCTCATCTAGATGGAGTCAACCATATAAAACAGGCTGTAGGACCAGAGCTGAGTTATCTGTGGTTTCAATATCACAACAGAATCTACTAACACAGAGTTCTCTGCCCCCACAGGACCTTACCAAACTGGATGAAATTTGGTTCTAGCATGGCATGCATGATTTAGGAACTGTATCACTAAAAACTTATGGCAAAATAGTATAACCAAACTGATACTATTATGTGAATTCAGCTGCTGTACCTCATCTGTGGAAGTTCAACACTAAAGCAGTGGACGTGGCACTCATTTTGCAATGTGTTTACTTGGTTTTAGAAAGTCTTTTCTATGCAAGAGTGTAACATAACAAAGCAAAGCTAAAGAAAAAAAAAAATGTCCCAGAGATCTGTGAATGTATGTACCCGCAGTACATTTTCATACCTGATTTTCTAAGCTAGAGTTACAAGTACATAATACATATTTCCCTAACACCACCTTATCACAATCCTTTTCTGCTCCAGGCCCTATTCCTGAATGTGGTTTTGCAGTGGAATCACTTAAACCATGAAAGTAGAACCACAAGATCACCCTCCATTGTAAGCATCAAGTTAATTTAAGTGGTCACAAATAAGGGCCTGCATCAGGTAGTGATGTGTAATTGAAGAAAGGAACTCATGCTTTTTACATGAAAAATACATACACAATTAACTAAAGCATTGTGAGAAAACATTGAAAACTTCATTTGAAATTTCATTTAGCCCATTCAAGGAGAAAGTGACAACAATACATGAGGTGTGAGGTATGATTTTGGGTGTCCAGCCTGAAATACCTCTGATTCGGTTTGCAGAGGTACTGAGAACCCAAAATCTTCCACAAGCTTCCATAAGGCACTAAGTATTTCTAAGGATCCAGTGCATCTAACCTGCACAGGCCATGAGAAATCCCTGGCTATTTTAAAGCTTTCCTGCTTCATTGCAAGGTTGTAGCCTCTATAGCAAACATCCCAGGAACCTCACTATTTCTTTTTTTTTTTCCTCTTGGTCTCTGAAGTCTGTGTCACCAGCCCACCCAGACCTGCAAGCTTCAGGCCCAAAGAAGATGCAAGAGGTCACTTCTTACAGATATAATGATATCCCTGGCAAGGGCAAATACTCAGCCCTCAGAATTAAGAGAACTAAGAACATAACTTTTGCCAAGATTCTCTTAATAAATAGTCACTCTGTTTTATACCAGTACAGAAGAAAGGTTAGTCCTCAGTGACTTCAGTGCAGGTAGCCTCAATGAAATTAACAGCTACTCTCAGCTTTCGACCAATAAAAGTCAAAGGTAGAATCTAGCCTTAGCATTTTTGTTTAGAGACCTCAGGTGACTATTTTGTCCTCCTTACAAAGAAGGACATTTAAAGCTTCTAGCTTATTTTATTCTCATGCAGCTTACAGGAGTTCCACTATTGATTCTGCATAATCCAAAATAGCAGACAATAAACTGGCAGTAATTCTCCTTACTTTCCTCCACCTCCCAAACTCCTCTGTTTTCAACAGATTCTGGGAATCTCTGTTCTCTGCTGCCGACGTTGTGAAATTAGTATTGAGATGCTGGGTGGAGAAAGAGTTTCGTAAGCACCTCTTTGGTGCTAAGAAATGAAGTTGGTTGCCAGCTTTCAGACAAGGAGGAAGAGGAAAGAAGTGGTTTGTGGAAGCCAAAAATGTCAGAACAATGTGAAAAAACATGTTACATCATATTTAGGACTTCTGCAGTCCTGTATGAGAATAGGGAGGAAGGCAGGCGGGAGGGGAGATGGGAAGGGGAAGCCATAAAATGGGGTTTTATTCTGTATTTCTCTTACTGACGTAGACGAAGACGACATAGATAAGATTTTTCTTTAGCCTCCAATACCCTATTTTATTCTCAATCCTCACCACTGAGAGTTAGCCAAGTTACGTGCTTCCTAACTAGTATCTGATATGTTCATGTAAAAACAAGAAGAATGACAGTTCCAAACAAAGGCCAACAATGTGGGGGCAGTTCGTTAGAAAATAAGCCAAGAGCCTTAATTCATACCTAACAACCCAAAGAACACTATAGCCTCTGCTGATGTTGCCAACCCAAGTCTTCTACTCCACTGATAAAAGGCTAATAAACAGGCTTCTTCCCACATTTGGGAAACAGCAGAAGAAAAACAGAAAAAGAAAAAAAGGAGTGGAAACTCAAATCTACATGTTGCCACTAAGGCCTGTCTCCCACAGGAAGTAAGCAAATGAAAACACAACAAAAATATTTTTAGAAAACCATTCTCATGTTATTGATGATGTGACCCAAGTCATGAAGTAGAACAGTTCTGAGCAAGGCCAATTTCCTGCTATTCCATCTCCATCTCTGCCTGTCTTTTGGCCTTAGGCCAGGGTGTCTCTGGGGACTTTTGAACTGCACTTTATTTTGAGAAAGTTTGTTTTTCCCGGAAGAATCATGAGGGGAATGCTGAGATACAACAGCAAATCCCATCTGCCATGCACAGATTTCTCAAAGTGCCTGGAGAGCTTAACCTTTTCTTTGCCTGTGTCAATGTAAAAGAAAAAGAGATGTGCAGAAGGAAAAAAATTTAGTTTTCTAACCTATTCATTCCTGTTTTTCTGCTAAAAGGAAGAACTTCCACTCTGCTTCATGTATCCCCTCCTTTTAGCAGGCACAATCCTTTTTTAATAAACTTTTCACTAGAAATTTGTTGCCTTCATTGAATTTCCCAATATAGCCATAAGGCCAATACTTCCTTGAAAAGAAAAAGAAAAATCAAACTGTGATACAGCTTATAAAAAGACAAAAAATAGAACATTTTGCCTAGGAGAGGTTTTCACTTAACTGAAAAATCATTTTTATAGAGAAGCCATTCATTTCAAGGTTTGCCTTGAAATCAAGAGAGATGCTCTTTCAAGAGTTACCAGCTGGATTGTGCTCCATACTGATATGCAGAGTCTGATTAAAAGCAGGTGAGTAATTGGAAATAGGTTACTTCAAGTAAAGGTTGAGATCTGACTTAAAAACTTAGAGAAGACAAGATCTGGGCTGTTGTCATTATTGGCCTCTATGCAGATATTAGAAATAAATGTTGTTCAAGGAAGGACAGAGCAGAGCAAAATAAGCTCTGCCCCAGCAGAGCAAAAATAAGCTACTTGCCTCTACTGAGAGAGCAAGGCTATTTACAGCTGCTTTCTGTACTTCATTTTGTTACTGCAACAATGTGGGGGCGGTTCGTTAGAAAATAGGCCAAGAGCCTTAATTCATACCTACAACCCAATGAATGCTAAAACCTCTGCTAATCTTGCCAACCCACGTCGTCTTCTCAGCTGCTACAAGGCTATTAAGCAGAGACCCAGAGATGGCATAACGTAAGCAAGCCCAGTGCCTACTTGAAACTTACCCAAAAGCATTCTCAGTAGATTTAAGTTTGGGGGCAATGAGTTCACGTTCTCCATTCTGTGCCTTTTGTTCAGAAACGCCTTTCTTACGATCCCAAATACTTTTAATTTCCTCTTTGGGTGCTTTTCCTTTATCCTTGTCATCTTTTACCTGCTCAGGAGATACCATAAATCATAGCACAGAAACAAACAAACAAAAAAAGAAGTCACAATAAGGCATTCTAAATAACAGCTGAGGAACACAGATTTCTTGGTATTATTAACTAAGCAACTGCCTTCAAAATGTTTATGTGCTTTGTGGCAGAAGTAGTCTGCAAAGCTCTAAACTGTGACCAACCGCCAATCTGCTGTCCTGATCTGAATTCAGGATGAAAACATCTTGAATAAAATTATCAGTCTTCTCTGAAAGTTTGTTGTGGCCATGGGACCATACTACACCATTGCTTCATTCTGCAACTGCACCCCACTGAGGTACCCCAACCCTTCTCTCTCCCATCGCAGCATCATTCACCTCTTGCCTATTAAGATTCTGGGTTGCAAACTCTTTGGAACTAGGCTTGTTGATACATTCTTCCTACAATGGTTAGGGCACTGATGCAATAAAAATAACACATAACCTTCACCACTTGTCAAGTTTGCTTGACAAAGTTCATGCTCTTTCCAGTATCATAGCAGATGGATACTTCAATATTGCAAGAACAATGGCTAAACCACAAAATTATCTTTATATCAGAGTAAAATTTACTCTGACAAAAAGCACAGTCCTACCAGGGGCTAGTCATGGATAGTGTTATCAGACATAAATATGTAATCCTATGAAGAAGCAAATGTTCTCTCCAGAAACACTAGAGCAAAAATTCCCTCTATCCTTATAAAGCTTTGTCCTATAATTCTTGATAGTAATCAAGTATATTTAATGCATGGATTTCACTCTCCAGTATTACTTCAGAGTTTTGAGCTTGAAGTATTTATCAATACTACAGATGGCCTGATCCCTGCATGCTGAGTCATGGCTAGATGCTGATAAGAGGAGGAGGATATGGGCTGATTCAGGTTCTTTATCCTCAGGTAGAATTATTCCCACTCAGTTAGACTACCAGCCTAAATAAACTTTCAACAACAGCAGATGAAACATTTACCTCCAAAGTATTTTTTTTTGGCCAGCTCTGCCATGTTGGAGGAAGATTCCAGCTGGCAAGCAAGAAATACCTTCTATGAAAAATTCATATGAAGACATTTAAAAAAAAAATACTTTTGTCCCTTGGAAGTCTATTGCCATCCCATTTGCTAACCAGAAAGAAAAAGAACTCCTGTAACAGTCCTGCCTGCAACACAACTGCTTTTACGGCATTCCAAGCTGCACCTTGAAATAAAAAACTAATACAGCCACCCACCCCTAAATCAAATCAAATTTCTATCCTTCCTCATCAAAGAGCAACATCTCAAGATGTAGTATCTTTACCAATAAAGGGTGAGTTCAGAGTCTTCAAAGTCAAGATCCTCCTAAGGCATTGAATTAAGCTGCTGGGTGAAGTCCCGAAGTCAGCCTCTGACTTCACCTGAGGCCAGTTTGCTTGCTCACAGAAACTGATACGATGGACAATGCCAAGGTGGCACACGCTACAGGTGAGTACTGGGTGGTTAAACTACTCGAGCAAATTTGTCAGTGGTGAGGGATGTTGGACACAACCCACAGAGGCATTTGCTCTGCCCTGAGAGCAGGCAGCAACAGTGCAGACTTTCCCTACCCTCTCCTGCTGACAGGCTTTAGCCACGACCTGGCAGAAGTGCCCTGGTGGACAAGGGGGGAGTTCAGTTTCCATGACCATACATTCTTTGGCCATGATGCTGTAACTGCTAGCAAAAAAAGCCATTATTACAAGCAGCCTCAAGGAATGGTTTTCTGTTTTCTAGGAGCTGGGCTGAGACAACCAGGCCCATTCACTGAGCCTAGTGAATGCCATCAGACAGTAACATCTTTTGGGTGCTCCCAAATCTGGGCAAGATTGTAGCTAGTGATCATGTTCACAGCAAAAATCTCTGCTGCCTGTTAGCAATCTCCTAATCCTTCCGTCCCAGTCAGAGTGATACTGAAACCAGCAATGTTGATTGTTGCAAGATTTCACATGCCAGGATGTCTGTGTTGGGATTTTGAGAGCATAGGATTTCCTTTGCTGAGATTTTCATCAAGACCTTTCTAAGTCTCATTAAAAAGCCAATACTTCCAGCTGTCTGATGTACTGAAGTCCACTGGGGAGGGTCATATCTCTTAGATCTTAATTGAAATCACTGAGAAAACTAATATTAAAACAATATAGTTTAAAAATTAATAGGTTAGGAAATAGCATTTCAGAAGCCAGTAGGATTTATGGTAATGTGTCTGCATTTGAGAAAACGATTAATATAGCTTGGCCTCTTTATTCAAAAAGATGATAAAACAAGATATTACAGAAACATTTCACAGCTTTTGGGCCCAATCCTTCTCCTACTAATTTTAATGCCAAAACAGAGATTGATTAGCACAGAGGCAGAAACCATTATGTCCCATTCCAAAGGCAGGCAACAGAAAAAGTACTTTGGCTTGTCTCGGTGCTTCCCTATATTACAGGCTAATTCAGCTTCTGATGAATTCAGTAAAAAGGACTACACTGACTCCAGGTGGATTATACAGATGTTATTACCTGAACTGAAAACAATTCACATGCTCTCACAAATCTTGACCATCAAGTCAAGACAGAACACACTCAAAAACATGTTTAGCTGATTTCCAGCTTTATTTATTTATATTTTGATCTTTCTTTACACTGCTTCTTTCCTGTTAGGGTGTTATGCTAATATTTGAGAGTCGAGATTTCTAAACTCAGAATTGAACACCTTCAGACCGCAGTGAATCAGTTACTGAGGTTGGGGCCATTTGGCAAATTTGATTCCTTATTTGGGCTCAATTACTTGGTGACTTAAAAGCTGTGGGCATCTGGGTCTAGGACTTCCATTTAGAGCCAACTACCATACCCAAATACCATGAGAAAAGCAACTGTTGCGGCATGTCTAGCCAAACTGGAAGCAGGAAATACCAGGAGTCTCACATCATGAGAAAGCTTGTTCTTATGAACTTTCCAGGCCACTTTTGAGAACCAAATATTGTGGTGCAGTTCAGAAAAGGAGACAGATTTTGCTTGCTAATTTGATCAAAACCTGAACTTTGAGGGCCAGATTTTGGTCACATTAAGAAAGAACATGTGCTTGTGTTGCGCAAATGCAAAAGCAAAATCAGATTACGTAAATACACTGTATTCCTTCAGGACCTTGTTCATGATATACTGCCATCCTTTTAACTGCATATATGGGTCAGAAATAGGCCTCATTGAATCTGTATGTCCTTGAAGGGAGGGGGAAGGAGTGGAGATGGGAGCCTGATCTTGACTTCGTTTGGAGTCTGAGATTGCCAATTTTTCTTCCCAAGCCAAGAAGCAACAACTGAGATTTTCAAAGCTGAGCAAAACACTTGAAATGTTCAGCTTGATACACATGCAAAAGATTTACCTTTCAGTGGATGGGTATTCAGCATCATGCTAAAAGTGAGACTCTCTTAAATTGTCTCAGCTTGAGCATCCAAAAATGGAAGCACTAAAATTGCAAGTCAGTTTTAAAAGTCTTACCAATTTCATGGAATATTCTAGCCCTCTGGCTATGGTTTAGAAGCTCCAGTAAGAGTTGACTGAGCTCCACATAAACACAAGCAGGATGATTGTGTCTCAAGTCCCCCCCCAAAATCAACATTTGTGGTCAGTTACAGCCTCCTTTTTACCTTTACTTGTAATATTCAAAGACTGTGTGCAACAATGAATATTACAAGCCGATCCTGTCTTACAAAGAACTCTTAATATAATCCATCATTTTTTGCAAAGCTGTTTCCCCTGCTTTCACAATGGGGTTAGAGTGATTGTTTAGTTTTTCTAGTGCATTATTCGGAAGCATCTCCATTAGGTCTCATTTAACTCTTCCCCTTTCTAGAATAACTTATTCTAGTACTGCCATTCTCTCTCCCTGTTCATTAGAAACCTTTCTTTCAACCATCTTCATCACTTCATTTGCCTTTTCAATCTCATGTGTACCTTACTCAAAATGTGATACCCTGGATGATCAAGCTAGGCAACTGGACATAAAACCTTGTGACATGATTTGCCTTCATCACTCTCTGAGGGTGAGTTAAGCATGTTCCAAATTAATCCAACAACTAAGGACCCTGGACCAGACCCTGTACAACTCTCAGTGCTCCCAAGCAGCTAGACAGGCAGCAAGCTGCCTGTTACTAGATTTCTGTGCTGTGGCACCCTTTAAGCCACACAGACCTGGCTGAACCCAAATAGGTCCAAACCTCCAAGGCCCTGACCTGTCTCAATGTCTGATTAGAATCAGGGCGTATTTTGATACTTTCTGCATTGAACCAAAAGCACAGTTGCTACACGACATTGAACATGGCTCCCTGTGTCCAGCTGTAACCTGAAGAGTAAATGGTCCCCAAATCTTATTTACTTACCATACAGTAAACCACCATGGCACCAGCTCCTGTGTTTACAGTGGAAATGCAATGCAGTAAATTTTGTAGATTTTCTCTTTAAAACAAAAGAAGAATCTTGGGTATGCACAGTTTATATCATGGGGCATTGCAACTGGGGGGGAATCATTAGTTAAGGCAGTCAGGTGGCAAAAGGGCCTAGATTATTATTATTATTATTATTATTATTATTATTATTATTATTATTATTATTATTGTAAGAGTAGGTCTCAGTCATAGGGAAAAAGTTCACAGTAAAGTGGGAGGAAACCAGGGAAGGATGATTAGTTGATACAGTCCTGAAAAATTCATCCCTAGGGTGCAAACCATCCTTGCATTATTGACTGAACTGAGTTTCCTGAAATATTTGTTCTAAGACAAACAGGACTTGGTTCTAAAGCCCCAAAAGAACAAAATACTTAAGCATTTACTTCATTTTAAGCACATAAGTAGCTTCATCCCTATTTATTTCTGCAGGATTACCCACGTTCTTGAAGTGAAGCACATGCTTAAGTACTTTGCTGAACAAGCAACTTTCAGTTATAGGTCCCTTATTTATTTTCTTATCTCGAGTTTCCCTGCAACATCTAAATCAATGGTTTACAAGTTACCTGATCTTTTTTGGAGGTAGGTCGGAGATTCTCATCTGGCAACTTTTCCTTTTTAGCTTCCACTTTAACCTCTTTTTCTTCCCCCTTTGTTTTTGGGGTTTTAATTTTTTTTTTAATATGAAAACATCACATCTGTTTGCACTTTTGTTTCTCCATGCTGTGTTCATGTACCAATCCTGTGTGCAGCCACATCTCCATCATATGCTGCTGTGCTCACATCTCCATGTGCAGTTGTGCTCCCTCCACCCTCTCCAAATGCTCCCATTCCCCCATGTGGGCCTTTCTCCCTTGCATGGCATCATGCTCATCACATGTCCCAGCAGAGAGCCCTCTCTTGTGATTGCATTTAACACACACGTTCCTCACAGTTTACCAGGTGCTTATTATATTTTGTGCCAAGATGTGTCTGCCTCCACCTCATGTGTTACTGTGTTAAGCCAGTTTATAGCAGCTGAGAAAAAAAAGGCAGCATAAAAACATGCAGATGTCTGAACATGCAAGGTATTCTTTGAACGATGGAGTGAGGTCAGGCATGTTGTGCACTGCATTATTGGTAAGCAGAAGGAGCTTTATTTTTTAAAAGAGAGAGCGAGAGAGAGCACGAGTATTAGTCATTTCAATGCAGGAATAGATCTGTGAGGAAATTCCAATTCAATCTTTTTTTTTTTTTCTTGCATTACATTTCTCACAAACCACAGGTGTCTTACTTTGGTGCAAAATGTTTACTGTACCTGTTTTCTTAGGAAAGCTGCTTGAGGTTTTTCCTCTTGTACTTTCTTCTCTTTTACCTGTTTATCTTCTATTTTCTTTTCTTCCATCTTTTGTTTTTCTTTTAATTTCTCTGCTTCTAGCTTAGCCTTTTCTTCAGCTACCCTCTTTTCCTCTTCTGCCTTAGCCCTTGCTCTTTCCTCAGCTGCCCTCTTCTCCTCTTCTGCCTTAGCCCTTTCTATTTCCTCAGCTGCCCTCTTCTCCTCCTCTGCTTTCTGTTTTTCCTCAGCTGCCTTCTTTTCTTCCTCTGCTTTTAACTTGTCCCTTTCTTCTGCCTCAAGTTTCTCCCTTTCTTCCTCAGCCTTTTCCTCATCCCTAAGCTTCTCTTTATCTACAGCATCAGTTATACTCTGCTCCCCTTCTGGCACAGCATTTGTATCATTCTCTGCTTTGTGTTCCTCTGCATTTATAGCTAGATTTTTTGTTTCTACTACCTCTTCTTTATCTGTGGATTTTCCTGCTGTCACATCTACCTGATTTTCCTCTATGGGGACTTCCTTTGGTTTCTCCTCCTGTACCTCCTCCTTGTCTTTTTCTTCTTTTTTTTCCTCTTCTTCCTCATCTTGCCTCCAGTTGTTCCTTTGGTATGATTTGGTAACCGTTTCCGTTTCCTCAATCTCATAGCGTCCTCGGCGTGTTTCAGCCTTTTCCTCTTTCCCTGTGGTCTCGTTTTCTTCCACATTGTTTTCTTCTCTCCTGCTGGGCAGTGACAAGCTCCCATCTGTGATCGTTGGGTCAAATTCCTTTTGACGTTCCAGGGCTTCTTGTAGACGTTTTTGGCGTCTCTCCTCCCGTCTTGCCAGTCTCTCCAACAATGCAGCTTCATCATCTGTTCCCCCTGTGGTTGTCGTACGCTTGGTTTCCTCTTCTGCCACACTACATAAAAGTGACAATTTTGCATTAAAAAACTCTGTAACAATGCATGCGCTTAGCTGTTTCTAGAAAAAAAGCTTGCTGTAACGTCATGCCATGGTTTGAAAACACAACACGTTGCATACTTCAAAATTTAGCAAAATGGTTCTGGGGATTAATTTTGGCATTTCTACATGTATAGGAATGCAGTGTTTCACAATGTCAGAGCCTGGAAAGTTTCCCTTCCAGGCCAGCTCCAACAGCCGCTGGAGTCCCCAGGAGTCTTACTGACCTCAGTAGGCACTGGAACGGTCCCTGACACTTGGAGCAGCTGAAATATGAACAGCCCTGAAAAATTCATCCTCCCGCTCTGCACCCTGCAGCAGAACACTTGGAAAACCTTAGCTTGCTTTAAGGCCTCCTTCAGCTTGGCCTGAGGCATACATGTCTTCCCACCAGGCAAAATTTTTTAAGATGGTACACAAGCAAGGTACTTTGATTTCAGCGAACTTCTCTAGAACAAGAAGCTACTCCTGTTCAGCAACAACATCCACAGATACAGTCCATAATAGGATAGCCTGGCAATGAAGGGTGCTGTGAGGTTGTGATTGTGCAGGGACAATAATCTGTTAGAAAACAGAGTGAGCACAGCACCTAATTTAAGACCTGCTATTCAACACCTGTAGGTATCAGGACTGGATCTCGCTCTCAGTCCCTGGAGGTTTTTTGACTCCTTCAAAATTCAGCTCTTTAATTCTCCTGTGTGCAGGTTTCTTCCCTCTTTCTAGCTTTTTTTTCCTCTACTGTAGAAAAATATTATAATCTACAGTCAGAAATGCTGTTGTTTTCCTATCTATATCCATTCTCCTTGTCTTTAATAGAATGCTACTTATGCTCAGTATCTATTAGCTTGGTATCACAATGTTTATTTCTGGTCTCTTCTATCAATTGTGATATGGCTAATGGAAATCTGGATATATTATTTGTGATTATGTGAAACTGAATAAATGATGGACAGACTGGAAGGCCAGCTCTGCCCACTCAGCTTGTGACAAGTAGCACCTCACTCCATAAGCTTTTCTGCTGTTTATAGTTGTATGACCCTGACAATGTCAGATGAGGTCTAGCGCTCACATCCAGCGCCTTGCATGCATGTTTCAGCTGCAACTTGAGTCCTGGGTGCCCACAAATTCCATGTGCCTTGGCCCCAAGACACCGTGGCCCCTGTAAGCAGGACAAAATACGTGGAGGTTTGTGAGGCCAGATGCAGTCATGCCTGAGGGAATCGGACAGCAGGATGCATCAGAGGTATTTCCCTCCATAAGCCCCAGCTGAGTTACCCCATAGACAGCCCTGAGGACACCCTGGGAATGGGTCCTGAGCACAGCCTCAAGCCCAGCTTCAGTAATGCTCCCACCCCACTGTGTAGACACAGCCAGTGGCACTCCTCATAGTGTTAGGTCCTCTTCAGAGCAAGGATGGCCAAACCTGGTGCTTCAAATTTAAGTAGTAAAACAGACCTCTTTAAGATACTTCTCTACTCTGAACAAAAATAACTGTTGACTTGTCGGTAAACAACATCAGATATTTACCTGTTTTGGGCATTAACTTCTGATTTTTCCGTTACTTCTCCTGATAGATCTCCTTCTTCCTTTTGCCGCAGTCTCTCCTGTCGAGCCCGTCGGCGACGTTCTCTGGCAGCTTCTTCCTCATCGTCGTCATTTCTCTGGTAGGACAGCCTGCAACAGAGCATTGGGGATAGGGAAACAAAGGGGCTATAGCATATAGGACACTGTGACTGAAAAATTACAAAAAACAGTTGACCAGAGCACAGTAAGCATGGCTGCAGTGGCTGCTCCATACACTGTTTAGAAAATATGCTGTGAAGTTGAGATGCATAGTTTCAAAGCTTGGTTTTGTTTTCTTTTTTGGAAACAAACTTGACAAAAGAGTCACAATGGAGGCAGCAGCCACACCAACTGTCAGTTTGCTCCTAGAAAACACCAAGCCCATAAAAGCCCAAGCTCTGTGGCTGAGCAAACATTCTACTAGACTGCACCATGATCCTGCCAGAATGCACACAGCAGCATTTGAGCAGACTATCCCTCAAGCCCACGTAACTGAAATTGGACTTAGCCAAGCAGGTTTTCTTTAGCCTCCTCTAAATACCACATGCTGAAAATGGTGACAGTATTCTAAAGTCGAAAGACTAGAAAGCAGGGAGACACAAGTACGACACCAGCTCTCAGTGGTCGGTTCTGAGTGCCAAACATCTGACACCTACAAAATTTTTGTAAGCCCGGAGCCCTGCCAGGCCAAATCATACAAGATCACTGCTGTGATGAAAGCCTACAGCTGAGAACCCATTGTGTTCATCTAACCCAACAGATGATTACATTTAGTTTCATCCTACTTGAAAAGGAAAGCAAGACATTACAATCCTAATAATCCTGTGGCCCATTCAAATGTTTGCTGAGGTGCATTATTACTGTGTGTGATAAAGCAAAAGGCCTGCATCCCTCTTATCTTTTTGTGCATGGAAAGTGAAATAGGAAGCTAACACGTGGCAGACCCAGTCAGGACATTTATTTACTTTGCTTACAGCAATGGTCTGATACATAACGGTTAAGAAGTTCCCCTTCCTTGCGTGGCCATGCATTTAAGTTAGCTGTACAGCCGTGCACATAGAGAAAAAAAATAGCTCTCCACCGAGTAAAAACAAGCACAGTTAAAGCTTGCATTTCAAGGTGTATTTTAACATTAAAAGCAACTAAAACATTTTGATTTAGTAATGTATGAGACTCTTTGGATCCAAGCTTCTCCCATCACCTTGTTCCGGTACTACTTTTCTCTGCTGAAAGAAGGGTGAAAGTATTGGTTCAGCAGAGATTCAATTATCCCAATTTTGCTTTAAAAATTAAAAATGGAAGTTAAAATCCCAACATGGCTGAGCCACTTGCCAGACCTAGAACAGCATTTTCATCCTCACTGCACTGAAGGATTTGATTAGCTACTTTCATGCTCCACTTCAAGAGCTTGCAACCTTTTCTTTGTAGAAACAGCTCCTCTCAAAGAGGGTGAAAACCATGAGCAGCACGGCCATAAAGGATCACAGTAGGAGGGAGAGGAAGAAAGGAAGGAGACAAATTAAAAGCACTAGAGGTGACACAGGGAAGGCAGGGAAAAACACTTCCTGTCATTTGTAAGCAATTTAAAGGGGGATCAACATTTCATTTAGGTCTAGAACAGAAAGCATATGAATACAATAATAAACCAATGGGATCTTTAATCTGCAGGAGAAAGAGACTCTCCGTGGAATAAAACTGCATTAGCAAACTGACCACAGAAAGCCCACTCGTTAGTAAGATGTTCTGGCTGCAAGAAGCCTATGATCTTTTTAGCTCTGAACTCTAAATGTAAGGCACAGGAGAGGGCATGCTGCTTTTAGCCTGTGGCAGCTGGATAATGGCCACGACTGAGTTGATTCCCAGTGCCTATGGGTCAGGATTTGTCTTTGCAGTGAGACCACAGGAGGATGAAGTAGTTTATCCTGCTCTCTGTACCCACACAGAACACTCCTACACAGCAAGGAGAACAACCGCTTTTAAAAGCCTCTTTAAAATGCCTTTTTAAAACCACCAGTTGCTCAGAAAACTAAAAAAGGAAAGAAAAAAATACCCTAAGCAAAAAAACTCCCACAAAATGGTACCCATTAAATAAGTCAAATGAAAACAGATATGTATTTCCTGTCCTTGGACTTATCACATAGATCATCTGTTAAGAAAGCTGACGATCTCACTCAATATCCTTTTAAGTACATCCACTGCATATCACAGTGGTTTCCTACAGCAAGCAAGTACACCAGATATGGGCTCCACCCCTAAGGATCACCTTTAAGTATTCAATTCTGTTCACCAGCATGGATGCATGAAACATCCCCAATAATCTAGAAACAGTCATATCAACAACTAATAGTAGTATTTTATAGATCTGTTTTATGTTTTCTTTACAATTATGTTAACACTACCTCCCAGATTGTACTTCTACAGGCTGTTTTGCTTGCCTAGGAAATACAAGCTTTGCTGGAGTGGGCCTGACTAGCCACCACAGACTGACAGAAAAGTAGGCTGAAAATGCACGTTCAGGTCGGCTGCGTTAATTAATGAGTAATGACCATGGTGTGAGCAAACTGACAGCAGGATCATTTATGAAACGATTCAACAGTCACCCTAACTGCCATCGACTTTCCATGAGAAATTCAGTCATAGGAAAGATGGTACAAGGGCCATTTCTGCCCATGAAAAGTACACTCTTCTGACTACAGTGTTCATCCTACCATTTTCTCAATCCTCATGCACTGAGTTCATTCACCCTAACTTGGCTGGCACCTAGAATCATAGAATGGTTTGGGTTGGATCACTCTCTTTTCCTTGGTTATCTAAGGAGCTGCAGCCTCCTCTGCTGCCTAGGGTGTCAAACTAATTTCACATAGACAGGCAGACACATGAATTCATGCACCCTCCACTGGGAGTGGGGAGACTGACCCTCATTCTCCCACTGTTACACTTTCCCTAGCTACCTGTCACAAGCAAAATCAATTTGAGAGCTCTTCAGAGCTTATCTTCCACTTGCCTACATCTTTTGACATTCTTTAGACGAAGAGTAAACAAATAATAAAAAGTATGACTCCAAGATTTCAGCTCTGTATATCAAACAGATGGAAATCTGATGATCCACACTGCCCTGTGTTGTTTCTCCACCCTTGGAGAACAGCCTTGCTGCCCAGCATGCACACACACCCCACAACTAAATTAAACTAACCTTATATCCATTTGTCACCTTCTGCATACTATTCAAAGTCTTTGCAGGCAAGTCTCTCTCTACGGTTAGCTGTTCCAGCTACCTCAGGCAATGAGAGCATGGCACAGCGTGATCTCAGACGTATGCCAAGCTTTCTGATACTCGACACCTCTTATTAAATATTCAGATGAAAAGATGATGACTTGGAAACCATTTCTATACCTTGTTACCAAAGATAACACACTCTTGGTCTAAATGTCAAATAAAACAAACAAACAAGAAAAAAAGCAGAGTGTTGGCTGCTTCTCCTGTTACCTTCTCTATGTTTCTGACATGAGAAAAAGCAGCGTAACCTCTGCATTATTGGTAAATTGTTCTGGTAAAGCATTAGTGCTGAGTTTATCATACTTCCCACGCAGCACAACTCAAGTACAGGAGACTGAACATCTCATCTATGTGAGAGGACATTTTCCACCACGTTACGCAGGGATAACAAGTAACAACAGACATTCTGCCCTGTTGAGTGGGTAGGACAGATTTATATCTCCAGGACCAAAATCCCAAACCTGCTGAAGTCAACAACAAATCTCCTGATTATTTGAGTAAGTCTAAAACATTACCCTCAGACTGAATGGGGGACTTTACAGCTTTGAGTGCAAAATAACTCTGCTGGATTAGGAATATAGGCGATAAGGCCACCTGCTTCAGAACTTCTTCAGAGAGGTTCAGCACCCACTCTATTTTACATCGAGCACTGAATTTAAATAAAGTTATAACCCAGTAAGAAACTTGGTAATAGCTAGGATGATTATGGGGCTGAAACCATTTCATACAATCCAACGTCAACAGTTTTCTACTTGAAACCGCAAATCAGTTCAAACATTATCTAGGGCACTTTGGTTTTAGAGTTTCTTGCCCAGTACTACTACATTATTATTATTATTATCTGAATTATGACAGCACTGAAATTTCCTGATCAAGCTCAGGGGCTTGCTACAATAGGCAATTTATAAAGATGGGGGAAGGTCTGGTCCGTGTTCTAAACAGTGTATATTCTGATTAAAGAGAAACTTCATAATTTGTAGCACTACCTGCCCTCAGTGAGTCGTAGGCTAAACTCGATGAACCTAAATTATTTTTCATTTCTCACCGGGGTAGAAAAAAATGCCTAATTTAAGCTGGATCACGTTACTCCATTCTAGAGGAGGCAGGGAGAAAGAAGAGCTGTGGATCTGAGCTTTGACTCCATCTCAAGGGTGTCAGAAATAGGTGAAAAATTTCCAAAGAGGACAAAAGCTTTTAAGATTAGATTTTTAACTTAAACATGCAGCCCAGATCTACCTCTTCTTTCCCCCATGATTCACTCAGATGCCAGTCTGTCTTCCCTTTCTCCTGCCTGCAAAACCACCTTGCATTCATGGCACTGCCCTCCCAACACATATCTCAATTAGATGCAACTGTACCTATTCAGCAAGGTCTTTCCCACACCACTTTGTTATCTAGAAGCCTTTACATCTATTACAGATTGATTTTCTCTGTGGCCCACCCCAAGAAATGAGTTCATTCATCCTGTATTAAACTGCTGCACCTCCACTTGCAACCTAACCTACTTCTAAGACCTTCACCCTTCATTACCTAACACCACAGCAGTTGAAGTGACATCTGTTGACTTGTGTATCTCCAAATTGATGGCAGATGGAGGATGTCAGTAAAACGTCCCTGATAACAAATTTCACTGCCAGACTCAGTCTATAGAAGCTGCATTTGTTGGCCTTCTGCGCTTTTAGAAAGCCTTTCTATTTACCCAGGCTCTTCCTGAAAGGATGGGCGGGGTGAGGATGGAGCCTGTTATAATACCCACTGAGGAGTGCTCTTTGTGTCACTGTTGATATTCGGTCCCATTTTATTTATGATTGCATATGTTTTTAATTTTTTTATT